GCCTACTGATCACCAAACAGATCCACGGAGCTTAACTTCTGCAAATCATCCACTTAATCGCCAAGTTTGCCGTCCACTCGGCTGTCGCCCGACTCAACTATTCCGAGAGAAGTCGCCGGTCGTCGCTGTTGCACTTGTCCGTCGCGCCTGTCGACGGTCAAGTAACCCTTTCGTTCGGGTGGCTGTTTTCCTGTGACTCGGGTAAAGCACCGAAGTTGTGCGGCACTTTATCTCCGACTGGAATGCACCAGACGACAAACACTCGTCCGAGTTGCGCTGTCTCCATTATCCTCACTTCTGATTAAAGTCTGTTTCGAAGTCGACATAGGGAACCGATTTTTTCTGACGCTGCTACCGCGAGGCAGCGGTGTACGGGACGAAGTGGATGAGCTGTTGTTGACGGTTTTAAATGGGAGCTTAGAATGGATATAAACAGTTTTGGTGGATGATACTGCAGTAACATGCATTTGGTACAAGGTGCATGTCATGATCATACATTTCTAGCTGACATTACGTCATGTGTTGATTATGATATTTGGAGGCATGACATGAATTTCCACGGGTGATTGGTAAGAATATCTGTTTCGGAACAAAAACTACCACTCGGCCTTGATACACCTTGTCAGCTCATTGTTTTAACCCGGCAGTTGCTGGGGTATTTCGCCACCCACCGTTTGCTGGGGGGGGGCGTTAAACGCCCCCAGCCGATAACTCGAGAACCAATAGGCGCAGCGAAACGCACGAGGCGGCAAACGAAAGAGCGCGACGAGACGCTTCAGATGAGTACTTTAAAGTTGAATTTTGAGGTCACAGGTCAGGTCAAGGTCAGGTCAAACACCGGAAATCGGGCTTTCAGTAGCATGGACTTCAGGACTTTGCAATGGGCGCCTCTTGTCATAAACTCTGTCAAAACGGTGCACAATCCATCATATAAGGTCTAGAAGAGTGTCAGCTCCATGTAAGGGTCAGTCAAGCATAGGTCAGGGTCAAGGTCAGGTCAACCGGGTAGGCACATATCCCCGAAAATCAAAACTGATATTCGCAGCCTGTGACACATGTTTTATGGGTAATTTGGAGCGTAGAACACGATGGTGATGCTTCTTTTCTCATATATGTACTAGTTTGGCTCAAAAAGTTCAATTTAAGAAATGCATGTATTATGGTCGTGAAGTAGTCATGAGAAATTGCCAAGATTTAGTTCAAGATTTTGGAAAATGCGGAACAATAATCAATAATCGAAGATAGCCATTTGATTGCTCATGGTATTGGCAGTCTAATGGCGTTTACGGCATGTCTATATATCTATTCTGTGATTTTATATGATTTTTTGAACATATGCCGTTTTTGGTCGAAAACTCAGAAATCATGACGTCACTAAAACCTCGATATCTCAAAATTTTCCGACCGATTTTTTTTAAACTTCGTCACAATATACTTCAATCAATTCCCTACAGGTACCCAAAATTTGGCGCGCCTGCGGCGCGCCGTTTTTATGCTATGGCCCGGCGAAAAAAGTGGGGGCGTTTAACGCCCCCCCCCCAGCAACTCGCGGGTTAACAGCAGAACAGTGACAGGCAGATGTCGGCTCGTCTGTAGGCCCCGCCCCCTCTCAGATTGTTCAGGAGGTCCGGGCAGCGACCCGACAGTTGTGCCTCCGCCTCCGGCTCTCACGGGAACCGACACACCTGGGCCGCTCAAGGTCCCGACATGGCGCCCGTGATTCTCTCGTGATATCCCGTGACGACACTTTTTACCAGACATGATTTCGCGTGGCACGTGACAGATGATGACAATGCTCCTACCAGACGTGACAAACGTTGACAGCGGTTCCCATCCGACTTGACAAACCGTCCCAACGATCCCTGTCATGTGTGACGGACTGTTAGACCAAAGCTCTGATCCAGACATAATAGACCCCTACAGCAGTGCTCACCAATCACGTCACGACAGTGCTTTATTAGATTAATCATCACAGCTATATTTCTCTAGCCGCAACCGCAACGCTAACCCTCTAGTAAACAGGCTCGCGACCGCAGCGCTAACCCTCCACCGTCAAAACAGACCGTCCCACGTGATGGTCCCTACGAAACACTCACCAGCCGGACGCAGCACGGGGTCCTTTTCTCCCCTGTCGTCCAGGCTAACGACGCTGGCGACAGTAATGGGCGTCATGCCGCGGTCGGCTATGGGCACCGGTGGCTTCCGCTGAGCCGATTTAATCTAATGACAGCGGCGAATGGCGCACGACGGCCTTGGGCCGGCCGCCACCACTTGGGATGATTATGTAGCGCCGGCAAGGGTCCATTTCTCACCGGGTCCTGCGGGATGCCGGGCCGATATTTCAGACGGCGATGTTGTCACAGCAGCAGCCAGCCAGCAGCAGCCAGCCAGCACCCAGAGGGCCAGACCAGCGGGTGGTCAGGTCGGGCAGGTCTTGATCAGACCACTATACTATCGATGGATTTGGTCGGACCAGTCTGGTGTTGTCGTCCGTCAAGCTGCGGGTCTAAAGTTTGGTTGGTTATAGTCAGAACTTAGAAGTCTGGTCAGTTTAGTCCATAGGGCTGGTCTAACTAATTCAAACTGGCCTGAACCGGTCAAAACTAGTAGCCATATCCGATAAAGCAGAAAGTGACAGCATATGGAAGCTTTCGCACACGGATTCATGACTGTTGCAACCTAGCAGACCACCTTACAACCATGGTAGACGGCGTGTACCTAACCATTGCCGCTAACTGGAACCGGAACTGAACAGAACACTGGACTGACCTTATAATCCACTTAAACCACCTACATCCCATCCAAACTTCTCGCCCTTGCGGTGCACGTAGCGCTGCTCTGAAATCTCAACCGGACGAATAAGGTCACCGGGCGAAGGGCGGGCCACGCCAACTGACCGCCAGTTATATACAATTTACCGTAATTACATTCTTTGAAGTGGTCCATTGCCGTGGATCGGCAAGTGTCTCGCGATCCCCTAATTAGTTGGTGCAGTCGCTGCGCTCGTCACCAAGTGACGTCCAATTAGATCACTTATAATTATAATCTCTGCATCCTTGACATACAGCCGAGTGGTGAAGGAGATTTTACGGCCCAGTGTAATCGTTTACTGATGGAGTTGTATAGTTTTTGTTCAGGCTCCAGTAAAAAGAGGCGTGTATTGCATGCAGTGTGGATGCAACTTTCTGAGCGAAATTCATTAGCGCGGTGGTGGTGTGTTATATACCACAACTGCACCTGTGTCCGATTTTGATGGGCTGGCTAAATTTTGCCATCTAGATTCTCCCCTTACTCGAAATTGCCCGACCGTATGGTAGGGGTCGGGGTCTATGCACCAAGATCTAGGGCTCAGGCTCAGTAAATTTGTCTATTCAAACATTCCGGCTAAATTAATAGTAGAAAATCCCATCATATACCAGCAGCACCGTTTCTGGGCTGCATGCATTCACCTGCGCGTTTTTTCACAGACGAGCCGGAGTCTGCTCCGGCCCTCTCGGGTCAGCTGCCGTCGTACCGAATCGGAGACTGGCTGAGGGTCAACTGCAGCTCGGGCCCGGCCATGCCGCCTCCGGACCTCACCTGGTACATCAACGGGGAGCAGGTGCCGCCCCACCTGGTGCGCTCCTTCCGACTTCCAGCCACCGAGTACCTGGCCACGTCGGTACTCCAGCTGGTCTCAGAGGTGAGGGTGGGTGTGAAAGAGGTGAGAAGAGGTGCAAAGTGGGCAAGAAAGGGTGTGAATTGTGTATCTAAAACAGTAAGGAGAAAGTTCAAGATGATGTTGTACAGGTTGCGAAGAGGGGTACAAGAGGTGAGAGAGCTTGTAGAGAGAAGGTGCGGACCGTGCGGCCGATGTGAGAAGGATGTGGTTCGGGGGCGTGGTTCGTATGAGAGGAGTGGCAAGGAAAACTTTGGGAGTAAAAGGAGATGAGCAGGGTAATTGGCTACTGGAGCTGGGACAGTCTAGCAGTTAGTTTCCGGATATATCAATAGAAAATCACAATTCTAAAGAATAGGTAGTGATTGTCTAATTGAAAAGTCCCAACCTTCAGATAAGCAGCACACCGGTTTGTCTGAAGCATTAGACGATGCTGTAATTGGTCCCAGATGAATACGCTCCCTGAACGATGTTGTCGCTTTTTCATTTTGGGTTTATAACGACAGCATTGGCACACGTCGAACACGCGACATTTTCCGGGATGCTTCGCAGCACACTACTCGTAGTAGCATTGCAAATATGTTTTGGCCCCAGGCAGTACTGTTTTGACCAAAAGTACGAGCATGCATTATGGTGATGTTCATATAAGACACGTTTGCCGCGTTTGCCTTACGATACGTTAGTGGGGCCACAGCCCATCGAAGTCAGTTCGCGGCAGGTGGATTCAGTGCAAATCCAAACGTGCTCAGCACTATCAACAACTGCTTTGCAAGATCTCATTTGAATAATGTAGCGCCGTTACACAAAGGGTCAATACGTGAGCTCTAGATCTTCAATATCGAATGATAATTTTACCAGCTGCGGGCACGTTGAATGCCTCCTTTCCTCCCACCAGACCGCGATGACCTTTAACTTCAGTAGTCTGAGAGAATTTAGAGATCGAGTTTTCACAGCGTGGGCGGGCCCATGCTCTGGTTCTTTAGCGATGCAGTTTCGAGTTAGTCTAACTGTCTATTTTATAGCACCTGTGACCAATGTAATGTACGGGACATTAACACGCGCACTGCAGGGGGGGTTGTTTTCAACCCCCCCCCTGTGGTTTTTCGCAAATCGCGAGAAAACGGCGGCGCGTAGCGCCGCCAAATTTTGCATACCTGTTCTCCCAACTTTTGCACACCTTGAGTAAAAATTTTGACCCCAGGTGACCTATGGTCAGGTCACCAGGTCAGGTCAAGTGACCCTACCTCGAAACGTAAATTTCGAAGTTTGCAATCCCACCAAGCCCACAGTTGTTGAGATATGATCTTGAAACCCACAGGTAATAGTTAGGTCATCACGAGCTACAACTTGCATATCTCGGAATTTTTATATCGATGACCTAAGGTCAGGTCATTTTTGCGACCGGCCCATTATAAGTCAATGGGAGAAATTTCAACTTACTCTGAATGCCATCCTATGACTTCAATACGCTCAGGATCATAGTATTACAGGTCCCTGTTGGTGATTTCACCGAAACATATCACTTATGACCTTTGGAAGGTGATCTCCAGGTCATCTTAGGTCACCTGAGGTCACCAGCGGTTTTTCTTCAATAACTTGAGATTGAATAGAGATAGAGACTCCGTTCGACGTTTATCGTGTTTTTCTCGTCAATGCGGATCGAATGATATGCAACATGACCTATTTCGGTCAGGTCATGACCTTGACCTGAGGTCAATTTTTCAACTTGACCTTTCGAGGTCATATCATATATCATTCGATGCGCCTTGACGAGCTAAGAACGATGGCGTTCGAATCGATCCTCTGTCTTGTGTGCAAGACAAGTTATTCAAGAAAAACTACCGCGAAATTCCTGTTGTGAAAATCGTAACATTTTGTCTTCGGTGACCTCTGGTGACCTCGTTTTTGACCTGACCCAAAAATGATCTTAGTATTTCTTGTAGAACTCATCTCAACCTATCAAACGCCTTTTACCGCTTGTCGCTACGTTGCGCCGTTTTCGAGATCTCAGGGGGGGTTGTTTTCAACCCCCCCTGCAGTTCGTGTTCGGCTCAGACCCGCTGCAGTGCGCGTGTTAATGTAATCCGTAAATCGGTAAAACGGTACGGATAAGGCCGTTATGTGACGGATATTGCGGGGCTAAAAGACACCTCAACTTGGTAACGGTTCCTCTCGCGTATATAACACACAAGTCTGTAACACAAGTCTGATGGTTCGATTATGTCCTCCAAGAGAATAGGTAAATACCTACTGTCTGACGTCTCTTCGGCAGGTGCGGCACACGTTTTTCCGGGACGGAATAATGAACCTGAAATGTGTCAGCACCATCGGTGATCTCTATTGGAAGAGTAAAAAGACGCTGATCGCCCAGCTAGGCGATGTGAGCAGGGAGGCTCACAGTCAGCTTCATAACAAAACCGGTGAGAATGATTTCAGATTTATCAATGATCAGCAAAGGTGGGCAACTAGCATGTTCAAGATAGGGTGGCATGTAAAATATTGCTTCGGGAAAAGCCGGCAATGTATACGTTTCCATTTTCCTATTCTTATTCATTTTAGATAATAATGATGTTTACAATTAATAAAGCTTTTTGAGGGAGAGAAAAAAGGAGAGAAAGGAAGAGCGAGAAAATGCGTGGAGTAAAAGCGGATGGGTATTGGGTATGTATATTGCAGGTTTGCCGGCGGGACACTGCCACCGCTCGTGTCAAGCGGAGTTGTGTTTAGAGACAATGCCTGCTTTGTAGTGACATAAAACAATGACGATCCCCTTTAACCAGTGGTCCTCATACCGCAGCCGGGGTTCGAACCTCGTGGACCGTGCTGGGCGTCCTGGTCGTGCTGGCTGGGGTGGTCAACCAGCTGATTTGAGCTGCCGCAGCGCAGGGAAGACGAGCTGGCGCAGCTGAAAAGGAGTTGGCGAAGTTAAAGAGAAGCTGGCGAAGTTGAAGAGGAGCGCTCCAGAGGAACTAACACATTTCATAAAGCTAACGCAGATGGGTATACGTTGTCGCAAATGTGATCTAGAGTTGCACATTAGTACAGAGATGCACATGCACTGCATCTCTGTACGGAACTTGAACGACTTGGAATAGCTGTGAGCACCAGATAAGCTGGCGCAGTTCCGTGTCAAAGCTGCTGCAGCTCTGTGTCAGAGCTGGTGTAGCTCCGAATCAGGCCTGACGTAGCTCTGCGTCAAGCAAGCGCGGCTTTAGATGAGCTGCCCCACCGCGAGCTGGCGCAGCTCTCCCGAGCCGCCCCGCGGAGGTGGATGATCAGCGGTGCGCTGATGGGCCGGTGGCGGCTCCCATGTGCTCAACTGGTGACTGGTGCACCCCTGTGTCTGCCACACTGGCCCCGGATGGTGTAGGTGTGTGTCGCGGAAATTAGACGGATACGGGGACGGGTTCAAACGTTCGGCCGACGTAGTTGCTGTCGTCATAGAGATCTTATACATAGAGATGACATGCACTTAAAATCGTGGCGATTCAGTGGGTCTTTTTAAGCAACTTATTTTCAGCCAGTAGCGTGCCAATATGGCTGAGGCATTGTTAGTCTGAAGAAATCATTACGGAGCGAGCGAAGCGAGCGTAGTCTTTCGTAGATTAACGGAAATTTCTGAGTATGAGCGGCCGGCCGGCCGTGGTTACGCTTTTGCGAGGCTTATATCTCAGCAATCACTTGACCGATTTACATGCAATAATTTTTGTACGGTAGCTTCATTCCTTCTACCAAGTATTGGACTATTCTCGATGCATGTGGGTGACCGCTTATGCACGTGGCACGTGCAAAACGAAGAGGTGTCAGTTTTGTAATTGTTGCAATATCTTGGTAACTACTTGGCCGATTGCGCTGAAACATGGTATGTAGGTAGGCACCCACTAGGCAATGCATATCCATGTGCCACAGTTGGGGTGCTGCTGCACGTGCGCACGTGCAGGGGTCGATTCCAGATCTCGAGAACGGCTGAACCGATTGTGCTGAAATTTGGTACATGGTTAGGAACCAGTTAGCAGGGTGCCGTGAAAAGTCGGTTGGGACCCACTTCGCACGTGCGCACGTGCAGGGTGCCGCTTCCAGATCTCGAGAACGGCTAGGCCGATTGCGCTCAAATTTGGCACATCGCTAGGGAGCGGTTAGTAGGGTGCAGTGCACAAGTTAGTTGGAGGTGTCCCTGGCAATTTCACTTGTCCAAGGCCCACCCTCTCGCTCGTTCTGTTGGTCGCCTCAAAAGGCGTTTTACTGGTTAAAAATATTGCTGTTCTTTCCTCGCTGATTTCATTCCTGAGGTGAGCACTGAAATTGGTAGCATGATTTCATTTTGTGTTTTTATTGAATTCCTTAAAAGCTCGCCTAAAAACATTTTCTCTCATTCAGGCTCTCATCAACCGGGCAGGCGGTGGACCTCCCGGCCACCTTCCGCGCGGTGGGGGAGGCATTTTTTTGTCCCCCTCCCGTATCTCCGAAACTACTGGACGGATCCGTAACATTCAAACGATGCTCGATAGCCCTGTCAAATTTGTCGACGGAACTCCAATTTCATTGACCTCGGGGTCACCGACGACGTCACAGGTCAGGTCAAAGATAAATGTTTCGCCGTTCACAGGTCTTCTAGGGAATGCGCTATAACAAAGAGTAAAACGCATTTTGTCGAAAATCAGCAATAGGGCGTACGTTGCCTAGTTACGAGCGAGCGAGCGCAGCGAGCGAAGCGAAGTCTTTTCAATATAACGGAAAAATCTCAGTATGAGCGGCCCGGCCCGGCCTGTAACGCTTTTGAGAGGCTTATATCTCAGCAACCGCTGGACCGATTAGCCTGCGGTCTTTTTTGCTGGGTAGCCCCATCCCTTCTACCCCGTAATTGACTACTTTTGATACATCTCAGTGACCGTCGTGGCACGTGCCACATGAAAAGTCAAGGGTGTTCAAGCAGTTTTGCAAAAGTAATTATTTTGAGAGGCCCATATCTCAGCAGCGGCTTAAGCGATTGTCTTGCGGTAATTTTTATAGGGTAGCTGCATCCCTTCTACTAAAGGTCGGATACTCTTGATCTATGTGAGTGACCCCCACTGCACGTGCAAAATGCAAAAAGAAGAGGTGCCAAATTTGTTCCCATTTCAGTAACTCGGTAATTACTGGGGCGATCACGCTGAAACTTGGCATACAGGTAGGCACCCACCAGGCAATACATTCCCATGTGTTGCGGTTAGGGTGCTACTGCACGTGCGCACGTGCAGGGGGCGTTTCCAGATCTCGAGAACGGCTGGGCCGATTGCGCTCAAATTTGGTACACCGCTAGCGACCGGTTAGAAGGGTGCTTTGAACAAGCCCGTTGGAAGTACCCTGTCGCCCTTCCGCACGTGCAGGGCTCACTATCTCGCTCGCTCGTTCTTCGCCCAAAAGGCGTTTTACTGGTATGTATATATGTTGCTATTAGAGGTCACTGATAATACCCTCTCGCTCGTTCTGTTGGTCGCCTCAAAAGGCGTTTTACTGGTTAAAAATATTGCTGTTCTTTCCTCGCTGATTTCATTCCTGAGGTGAGCACTGAAATTGGTAGCATGATTTCATTTTGTGGTGTCAGGTCACAGGTCACAGGTCAGGTCACCAAGGGTCAGCACATGAACCCAACTTTACTTGGGTTGTGCTATGCATGTTTTATGGCCCCTCGACATGGTCCCCCCAAAAAAGTCACAGGTCTAAGGTCATTTGGGTCAGGTTCATGGAATTTTCAGGGTAGGTTTCTTGAGATTTGGTCAAGTTTGGCGCTTTCGGTCAACCGTCGTGAAAACGGCTGTTCTGAACCTTTCTGAGGACGGTGCAAGCTCAAATATACATATGTTACATTTTCCCATTCAATGATACATTAACCCTCCCCGGACCTATTGGTTTTCTACATACGCGCCGTCCGAGGGGGGGGGGGGGTACGATTTCCCTCGCCATTTCGCCCCTGATGAAGCTAGTAGTGATGTCAATTTCAGAAAACATATGTCCAATGTCCGTCCAATGTCCAATACTTACGTCGACTGTCCGTCCAAAAATGTCCAAGCCAGCCATTTGTCCAAAGATGTCCGACATCTACGCAATACTTTACACTCAACACCGTTAATTAATTTGCTTTTAATGTATCGTTACCAGCTCAAAAGTGGTAATCATATCGAAAGCTGAGCTTTCTAATAGCCAATCAATGTTTAACACGATTACTTTATAAGAATGTTGAGGTGTAGCAAGCGATTGTCCAAAGTTGTCCAAAGTCTGCTGTCATTGTCCAACCGAATTCCGAATTGGACATTGGACAAAATCGGAATTCCGAAGATTCAAGTTCCGATTGACACCACTAGAAGCTAGAGCGTCGCGGAAAAAAAAATAAGCGCGTGCGCCGTTGCAAGACGCAGCGAACCCGATTTTAAGGTCTCAGGTCAACCGGTGCCCTCTGAGGTCAGGTCAAGTGACCAAGGGCAAGGGTTCAGTTTTTCATAACTTCGCAAAAAACGGTCGGAGAGCCGCGATTTTGGCATCATCGTGTTCACCTCGCTCAGGCGCGTCGAATGGTGTACTTTTTGTTCGGGTGAGGTCAACTTGAGGTGTTAACCTCGGGTCAAGGGCAGGTCAGCGCCCCCAGATCACGAAGATGATTGAAAGAGGTCATGTTACATATTACTCGAATCGGCAGGTCTTCCTGAGTTTTTTTTGGTGGCCTTCCCGACTCGCTAACTCAATTTGATGGGGAGTTATTGATGAAAAACTCTAATGACCCAAGTGACCATAAATGACGTCAAAGAATGTCAACAATGCAAAAGTGAAGAATCGGACGTTGCAAGGCGTGCAAGAAATCACGATTCCATGTGCTGGAGACAGTTTGAGATAGTTCTCGGCGCTAACATAGCAGTTTTCATTTTTCCCCATTGAGTTATACCTAATGGTGATTATTGGTGAGGTCACGTGGCCGACCTGACCTCATGTGATTTTTAGGGAAAATCCGAGATATACAAGCTGGGAGACCTCTGGAGGATACTACATCCTGTATGTAAGTTTCATCTCCCTGTGAAAGTTCCTCTGGCACTGACGGCGTTGCGAAGTTGCGACGTCTGAGGACTGTGCAGAGGTTCACTTATGACGTCACAGGTCAGTGACCTGACCTGACCTGAAAATGCGGTTGGTGTCGCAAAATGCGGCTTGGATCAAAGGTCAGGTAGGTATGCCAAGTTTCAGCTCTCTATCGCCGGCGTGTTCGGAGCTATCGTGAAAAACCCTATGGGGGGCGGCACCCCCCCCCCCCTCGGCCGGCGAGGGTAAATGATACATGTAGTGCCTGATACGAGCATAAGGTTAAAACATGCCTAATTTCATTTCAATAATAACGCTCGAAAGCGTCACAGCTAGACAAAAAAGAAAAGTACTTTAAATAAGTACTTTTTACTGTACTTAAAAATAAGCGGATGTGAACACAATCTCCTTGACCGAATCCTTACAAAATGCAAGTCACGGGCCATGGCACCCCAGAAAACCTTGCTTAAAAAGACCCACTGAATCGCCACGAAATCAAGTGCTTTAACATAGGCGTGTCATCTCTATGTATATAAGATCTCTATGGCTGTCGTGGCTATAGCGTTCAGTGAATCGGAGATACAAAAATGTAAATATAATGTGTTGGGCGTTGTTATCATATTCATTAAATGTTGTTTACGATATACGGTGCAATAAACACTATTCAATTGAAAATAGCGTGTTATACTCGTAGATAGTGTCAAAACATTACATTCAAAAAGTGCGTGACTGGACGGCGGGCAGGAGAGCTAAAAAATTGACTAAAACATTGCATAATGCACCGAAAATGCGTAAGCATTACGCAGCTAACAATATTGTGATGACATCCTCGTAGAACTTTTCCCGTACATCAGAATAAACGACGGTGTCCACTGTCCTACCCAGAGTAAGATATCAGCCGCTGATGAAACGACACGCCTTTAATCAAAGCTGATCTGTCGTCGCTACTACAGGCGAATAAGAACAAAAACTGATCAAAGAAAAGGTGGCACGCGCCTCAGAAGCTTTCTTAGTGCCGCTGGAGATTTGTATCAGCTAGCTCAAAAACTTCAACAACACGTGTTTGGCTGTCAGAAATGTCACATTTGAATTCCGGACACAATCGGTGACACACAATGCTGGGGATAAGGGGATGGGTGGGACCAGCAGTGCCAGTCTCGGTGTCCTTCCTTCGGTGGCACTCTGCCTGCACGCTGCGTGAGGACTGATGAGAGTGGCAGCGCGTCTTGTCTTTCCGAGACTCAGCTCTAAACGCTTGATTCTGCCAAGGACTGATTGTACTTAATATTTATATCGCGCGGTGCTCGAAACCTCTCAATTTTTTTCAAGCTATGAATTGACTCATTTTGGGAATAAGTTTTTGTTTGCCATATGCAGTTATTCAATGCTTTATCGAATTATATAAGCCGATAGCATATATCAACACAGGTCAAATATAGAGAGAACCTGTTAAACCTCGTCGTCCGGTATGGCACTGCGCCACCTGTCTCTGGTGCGCTGGGGTTCGTCTCGCTGCGTTCACGCGCCACAGACAGAGGCCCTAACGAGCCGCTTCTCCGGGTGCGCCGCCCGCCGCCGCTGCGCCATTCGCCGCCGCCCCAGAGACAATGGCGGCAATCTGCGACCGGCCGCGCCGGGGCGTGAATGTTCTGACGAGTCGCCTGTTGATGTTGGCGCAGCGATTACTGGCTGAGCGAACGTGGCCGTGGAAAGACTAGTGCTGCGCTGACTTTTACCGGTCATCTGAGTACATACAGGTCGGGAATGAGAGGTTATTAGATTTGATGTTAGCAAGTGGAAGATGACGGCGGAGACGACCATTGGAGATGACTCAGCGCTGACCGGTCGCTGCAGCATTGAGTCCGTTGATATTTCTATTCATTTGAAAGCGCTATAGACGCACAGCTGCCTAACTATTGCATTGCTATTGAACGGTCTTTAGAATCATGGGGCATTCAGTCTACTGGATGGTACACATTAGCTGCCTAGCCTGCCTTCGAGGTACGCACATTTGAGTGCATTCTGCTTGATAGACGCCCGAGAGTTTTAAACGACGGGTCGTTTCATTATGTAACCATTATGTAACTTACTTTAATTAGATGTTGTAAAAGTTTTGTTTCATGCTCAAAGATCATCGCAAGTGGATCTATCACGAGTCGGGATTGTGTCGTGCATCTGAGTCTTCAATCGTTTTTTGGTCATATCTAGTCGCAAGGTAATTATAAAAAATACGCTGAAATTCAATGTTGGTTCAATATAGTGTTTATTGTAAACAGGAACTCTTTTAACCAAGATCAGACGTAACCGTCATTTATCAAATAGGCGCCCAACTTTTAGCAGCATTCGTCTTTGGAAAATCTCCACCCGTCACCAAGTTGAGACACTCACCAGTTCCGTTTGGGCACATCGTGTTTAAAAAACGGAGCGGTAGCATTAGCACCAACCGCCGAAACAGCTAACTAACTACTTCAAAACTTCACAAGTCGGTATGTTTACGAGAAACACGGCTCCGAAAATATCCCACTTGTCGCCCCCATTTCTCCAACTTCTCCCCTGCCCCGCCGAGTGTCCAAAAGGTCGTCGCTTTGAAGTCGCGGACAGGCTCCCCTGACCTTTCACATCGTAAAGAACGCCGGGACGTCATAGCTCGCGTCACCGAAGGTCAAGTAAAAACGGAACAAAGAACACGGATTGTCAGCTTCGGGTAGGCCGGCTTTCTGCTAGAGCGACCAGTCTCCAGGAGCTCAGAGAGGAGTCTCTCAGGCGCGGGCAGTCGGCGACCTGCTGTATCGACCTTTGCACCGGTGCCGGCGGCGGATCGGGACGGATCGGGACGCGCGCTGGTGCCCAGACCGACTCGGCGACGGTCGTGGCGCACCCGCGACAAATCCGAGCCGCGCCGCAAATCCGACAGCCGCTGCCGCCGGTCGGTCGGTAATGGCTCTGCCCAGGATGGATTTGTTGGACTGGTGACGTCCGCCCGTGTCCGTGAGTGGACAGGTCGGTCACAAATGTGACTGGCATTGAACATCAGTGATTGATGATACATCCCTGTGGCGGATGTGCGTTTAATTAAGCAAACTAAAAGGTCAAAGATAACGATAAATAATTAACAGCCACGCTGACGGACAGACATGCAATAAGGCATTTGAAACACATTTATTGCGAGACTGGTCAAACCAACGCAAAATCGCGACGCAAATACTCTTGGCTTTCCACGGCTAGCCTGGCCCTGGAATATTACTGCAGACGCGCACTGAGTGCCTTTAACACCAACGTTATAGTAGAGGTGAGCTTACGACGAATATGTATATGTGTCGGCCTGTTGGGCGATGATCTTAGCGTGGCTCGCATCACTCATGTTCTCACACATCATCGAATTTGCATGATCGCAATTCGCATCACATCAATATCACAAACGACTGATGATATTTATATTTATCTGCCTTATATCTGGTTTACAAATAGTTTTGTCATGAAAGGCATTTCGTTTCCCTCTCCTCCCTCGCCATCGTGTTCAGATTAGCTGGGCGGAACGTACTCCAGCTGGAAGTCAAACCGGACGCAGCCGAGCAAAGTCTCCGGCGCAGACTTGGAGTACAGTGTCACGTTGCCATGGTAACCGCCCTGGAAATAAAAATGTTGCTTATAGGTATGACATAATGTAAATTATGTGTAATAAATATTACGTCATGATGATCATTATGACGATCTCTGGGGTTTGCAATGCGTAGTGTGCTAAGCAGAAAAGATATTAGTAGGTACTACGGATCGAACCAGATTTCTCAGTTTACCTTCGATGCCAAAAAGCTTCTTATGCAGATTTCTTCAATTTTGGTGTATTCACCTAGCTGGGAACTGAATTTACGCTTGAAAACTGAAGCTTGAAAATCGGCTCGCTAAGTAACCCCGTCATTTTTGAGATCCCAATGTGCGTGCCCCGGATAATTTTCTGCCATCCTTACGGCGATGACGGAGTCGATTGCCTCTCCGAGGTCGGGCAGTGTCAGCGTGAAGCCATCCGACTGGTAGTGGCCGGCCAGCAGGCTGCACGAGCACGGCACCTCCGGCGGGAACAGAGGACAGAACGCCTCCGGGTACTGGGTGATGTACGCGCACATGTCGACCTCACTGCAGAGAAGTGGGGAGGGTGGACGATTGTCAGCGGAGAGCGACCAGCCAGGGACATGGTCCAATGGGACCCACCGGTCGCTGTGGCTGACGCATGCTCTTCATAGCTTTTGATACGATGGTCAATGGTCAAGACGTTAAACAGTGAGTCTTTTTATTACTTATCCAGAGAAATAAAACTAATATCCATGTAGGAAATACCAACAGTGATGAAATAAGACAGCAAAATTAACAAAAATTAAATTAATAAATAACCACCACCCTTGATATAGAAGAAAATATAAATAGGTGGTTGAATTTCTTCGCTAGTGGACGCTATATCTGCTCCGATTTCACTGTAAGCGGCTCACCAGCTGCCGAGGCCGTTCAAGCAAGGCACCTCGATGTCGAATGGGTCCTCCTTGATAACCTCCACCATAATCATCATATCGGCCGGCCAGTCGGCGGTCAGGTCACCCTGGAACTTGAGCGTCATCGGGCCCGGCACGATGACCGGGTCGGGCGTGACGCTGGCATCGTGGAACACTGCGTTCGGGGTCAGTCCTGCCGGCAAGAGGTCACAGGTCAGGTCACAAGTCCCGTCACAGGTCAGGTCAATGGTCACATCACACATCAGATCACATGCCAGGTCAGAGGTCAGGTCACAAGTCAATATGCTTGACTCGCCATGTCATGAGGCTAGACGGAGAGCCGGATGACAAAGATCACTCGGTAGACTGTATCTTAGGTCAAACAATGGGACAATGACACACAAAAGTGGCTTATCTTTCAAGAGTTTGCCTGTAGTTTAAGGCTGATTTGGCAGCATTATTGAAAATGACAAGAAACAGCCTACATTGGCTAATCACATTGATTGATCGGACCTTTATCTGTCCTCAGAAAATGCCTGAAATCGCCCATGTCGTAAATTCTGTGATACAATGGAGCCCGGCCATGAAAGGAAAACTGCTCCGGCCTCCGAATATTACCGAAGCTAGCTCGGTCGCCGGTCTAAGCGGGAGAGGGGTGAATCTGAAAGAAGGTATACATTTGGCTCATTGAAATCCCGTAAGAATTTATGGAATACCTGAAAGTTGCCTGTAAGACTGAGTGTTGTCTTGCAGCTGATACGAGTTATGTGTGTGTTTCAACCGTCATCAGTGATGACATGACATACGAGTACAATTAATATCTGACGGTTGCCACTTCATTAAATTCAACAGCCCATTACGGTTTAGCGCTGGCGATAGACTTCATCGAAATATCGAATATCGCATAATGATCTGCTTTAGCTAAACTCCGTCTAAGAGCACCTAAAGCGTTTGCCTCTTCTCGAAAACGTATGCCTCAATGTGCAGAATTTACCAGTCACAAATCTGGCTAATTAGTCACTACATTCCATTGATCAAACTCAACCAAGTGTTCAGCCCCCCCCCCTAAATCTCGACTTCACTTACCACAGTCCTGGATGGTGTTGGCCGCTGCCAGGCTGACCAGGACCGCAAGCACTGCCAGAGTACGCATGTCGACAGACTGTGACTAGTCGGCGGTGAGAGTCCGTGACTCCGACTCCGTGAACTCCGACTCTGGCTCTGACTCGCTGAGTGGCGGCGGCCGCCGCTGTTATAGCCAGGTGCCCGTGAGACGTGCACAGCTGGTGTCGGACACGAGCGCACAGACCCGACAGCTCAGAGTGGCCTGACAGAAGGCACAGGAACAAAAACGGAAGTGGAGGTGGCGTTTTGGGAAAAAGTGTCACCTAGGTTACAGATGATGCAGCATTTCGGCGACGACTGATGTCGTTACGTCACTGATTGGAGGTTTTGGTTAGGTGTTATTGAAATTATCATGACGAGGCCCGGTTTACTTCTGGTTCGCGTTGTTCGAAATATCCGTAGTTACAAATGTGAATTCTCCAAGAGATCAAAAGATACAGATATTAAAATGACTATTTTCGAAACATGAAATGAGATGCCGTCACTGCAAAAAAAAACAATAGCAGTACGACAGCAAAACGTATTACGGACTTAAAAAAGGCTTAATAACGTAAAAACAATTATCTCGCATACAAGACAACGTTGTAAAAAGTGTGTAGACAGTAGAAGCTTGATAAGTCAAAATATGCGACCGAACATACGCCAAAGTTCTTAGTTCTAATTTGAGCGGATTACTGGCACACTCAAAGCACTTTCAGAGCGTGAATTTGAGATAGGCACTTGGCAATGTATGGTAGGCCGCGTGAGCGTCCGTCTCTTGCTTGTTTTACTTTTTGTGGGTTTGTTACTTTTCAGGGATATTCACAAATGCATCGCTGTATCCACTGATTGTTCGACGACCAGCCAAAGACGACAGATATTGGAAAAAATACAAGGTGAAAATGCATCTACGAAACAAAACACGTACCGAATACTTATAGAACGTTCACTGGCAGTCAAGTCACATATTCTCTTCGCCAAAGTGGTGCAAGTGTCATTTCGATGATAATGTCTCCCTACCAATTATTTTTGAAGATCGCAAGCCCGGCCACTTCTATGAAGGGATTGTCAAAAAATGGTTGTAGCCAGGGATGCGGAGCCGTGAAAATTTCAGACGGCTCCGGCTCCGGCTCCGGCTCCGGAGAAAAAAAAACGGTTCCAGCTCCGGCTCCGGCTCCGGAGAAAAAAATCGGTTCCAGCTCCGGCTCCGGCTCCGGGTGAGATGTCATGGCGGCTCCGGCTCCGGCTCCGGCTCTAAGTGAAATGGTCCGGCTCCGGCGACTCCGGCTCCGTCTCCGGCTCCGACTCAGTACATCCCCTATGCGCAGGGATGCGGAGCCGTGGAAATTTCAGACAGCTCCGGCTCCGGCTCTGGCTTCGGAGAAAAAATCGGCTCCGGCTCCGGCTTCGGCTCCGGGCAAAATGTGCCGGCTCCAGCGGCTCCGGCTCTAGCTCCGGCTCCGGCTCCGCACCCCTGGTTGTAGCATAATGGTTCGAGACGTGCTCCTTACTATTGATTTGCTTTAACTAAACCCTGCCTCCCTAAAAAAGTAAAACCAAATACAAGTTAGATACCAACTGTTACTTGAGCAAAAATTAAAAACAAATAATTTTGAAAAACAGCGCCAAGTATTCCGGCCACCACATATGTGTGTATGTGTATGTGTGCAGCGTGCTATGTGCCTTGCCAGGAAGTGACTCCAATCTGTGCAGATAACTTTGCCTTCAGCACCTGCATATTCTCACTGCAGCGTGTCTTACTGGTGAGATACTGTGTGGCAGACTTATACAATGGCAGGCCGTTTACATAATGGCACTTCCTGCGCGTTGTTATGAAATAAATTCAAATGATTGATTTTATTTTCAAGCAGTCAGTAGGTATTCAAGGTCCTCTAGAAAAACGTAAAGTGTAATTTTAACTGTTCTGTACCAATGACACACTTTATTCTGTTCGCTTATCTAAACGATATGTTTATGAAGGTAAATCCATTGTGTCCAGTTCAATTATGCCGCAGAAAATGTTCGGTCACTGGAGCGTTTCCGGGCCGTGAATACGTCCTCGGGCGTTGAGCGGGCCAATTGTCCGCTACCTAGGCTATTGTCAGGCCGGGCCGGACGCCGGCTATCCACGGCCCGCAGACCAATCGAGCTCCATTCTGGCTGAGCCGACGAATGGCGACCACTTTAATCGCTGAATCGCTTATTGCGCTCCCCAGAATGCGTTCGGCGAGAGTTACAGCGGCCGTGCCTCCTTTGTGATTCGGCCCGGGACGGCCGCCGTGGACAGAGTCCTATCTGTGCACGGGATCAATTTCGGCTGACCCGCGCGGCGGCCGGCGCCGGGGGCCGCACTGCCCGCGGGCAGGGACAAAGGCCGGTCAGGCGGCGGCTGCGCCGGTACGGCCGGTCGGCCGCTCGGTGACTGGAACAAATCGAGCCGGGTCGCGATTCATTTGTCGGCTGTGATAGCGGTGCGTGGCCGCCCCGAGGCGAGAGGTCGCGTCTCGGATGGCCGCGGGGCCTCTCGAGACACAGCGGTCCATTTCAATTGGATGACCTGTTGGTGGGATGGCGCAGACCTAATAAAGATAGATCAATTGCGCATTTTTATACGTTGGTTATTTATGGATTGGCGCGATCCGTTTACAAGTGGAATCACACACACTTTACGATAATCATTTGTCCTCTCTTAATTTCACAATCATATCAATCCTCGATCATTTGCTCAGGTCCTAATGCTCCAGACTGAACGGTGGTTGGCAACAGTCTTTTTTTTAGGTAGATGAACTTTATTGAAGAAGTTGACTCTTCCGAGGAATAAACGATATCTCGACTTGATGGACGGTCGGTTGGGCAGTGAGGCTTTCCTTGAGATGGATGTGACATACGGCAGTTTGAACAGCTTTTGGCTGTGTTCTGCTTCACGTCCATCTTATCCTTCCAATGAATCTTATTTATTATCCCAAGGTCCTACATGTCTACCACCGAAGGAGGGCATTCAGCAAAACAAATGTAGGCTCTCAGGTCGTTTTCGTCCTCTTTGTAGGCATCATAATCGTGAAGGAAACACTAATTAGTCAGCTACCTACACCAGAGTGGAATTTAATTAACCTGGGTCAATATTGCGGGAGCGCGAGAGTATAAAATGCTTCTTCAAGGCTCCAGATGAAAACATCAGATCAAACATCAAACCAGTATTATAGTGGCGTACGAGCCCTGGGATACGATGAACCCGTGGCTCTTCTCTGAGCTATCCCGCGACCTTGGGACAATATACTTACGCGATCAATGACCATCTGCCGACATTAGCAGGTTAGAACTCTTATAATGGCTGCCACTCACTTCCAACTAAACGAGAGTCCGAATGGTCTGTCTTGAATAAACATCCCTTTCCAGCGAAAACGGCGGCCGACACGCGGCCCAGTGGCGTTTGACCTGGCCGGAGCGCTGCTACCTCAGATGAGACCAGCTCTCGGAGCCAAGATGACGAATGTATCCGACCAGCAGGCCATCTTCAGCGAGACCCATTACCGTGGCGTCGGCCACCTGAATATCAACGCCGTGCCGGCGCCGGGGCCGTCCCAGCGGGTGGCCGCCCGCCCGCCGGCGGTGTCTAATCCAATACGGTCCCGTGGCCGGACCGCGGCCGGTCCCATACCAAGTGCGGTCTCGGACCACCTGTGGGGAGGGGGAGGGCTATGGATGAGTCACACCCGGGTCGGCGGATGACCTGGCAACGAGGGACGTCGAGACAGGCGGGGAAGGAGTGACCCAAAGTTGTGACCGACCAAAGTTAGGTCATGGATTAGGTGTTAGGTGCTGTGAGGCAAGGCTGTATGTATAGTAAGTGGTGTGTGGTCTGAGAAGTCTTGTGATCCCAATCTCCCTGCACCTGTAGATTGGTAGAGAGAACTTTATGACATCGCCAGTTTGTCAACGCCATCAGTCTCATTTGCGAATACATAGGCTGCTAAATACTTTCAGTGACATGCAGTCATCTCCCTCATTAATCACTCGGAAGGGATCGGGGCAGTGATTTGTGCCCACTTATTTGTTGGCCATGCGAGTTTTCTGTTTTCGGGTACACTTATAGTCTTTTTTTCTTTATTTATGTTCCGGTGTTTCCTCGTCTATGTTTATTTTTAGCTGGATTATCCCAAATCAATACCTTTCCCAAACTTGTTTCTTTCCAACAAACTTTACAGAAGTTGAATAAAAACCGAGCCTTCAAATGCATCAATCAGTCACTAATGCACCGTCTGGTTTCGGCTGTCGAAAGCAAGCATAAAGGAATAGCACTCTCAACTTATTTTCTATTTGTGAGCAAGCATTAAAGCATAATTGAAGACGATGTACAGATAGATTCGTATATGTGCTAGCACATCAGTTACCCAATTATTACAGGAGGTTTCTGTCGTGGTTAATAAAGAAATAATTGACATAGCACGTTTAAATTCGAAAGAATCGACAGCAGGGGTCGTGCTGGAAACAAGTTTGTTTGCGCCGCAAAAACAAATTCGTGATTTCGATATAAAATCGAGATGTCGGATTAGCATCAACTGAGGAATCAACATTTATAAAACATGCAGCCGCTCTAGCTTTCATAATGAACGGTGGCTGAATAATTTTGTGTGAGCCTGAAAAAATGAAACAATCCTAACAGTAGAAATATATCACTTCCATTCAGCCTCTCTAGTCTCTCTTTGTTTCTTTTCCGTGTTCCTCCCCAGTCACTTTCTAATGAGTGTTTTCTACCGTCACATTCTTCATTTCACTGCAGACACTCTTTTTCGGTCACTTTGTATCTCATCACACAGCTCTTGTGTTTTACAAAGTTTCACTCTAGTTGCTTTCTCGGTTTCTACCCATTCTGTGCACTATTCTCGTCGCCATTTCAACATGCACCCGTCCTAGACGTCGTCGACTGCCTCAGCTCTCTTTGTCTCACTCTGTCTTCCCACCCAGTTGCACTCTTCCCTAATGCTTTCAAGGGAGCGCACTGCCAATCCGTCGTCTCCGAAAACAGAACCACCGACAGGATTCTACTGTTCGCATTCTTAGCTCCAGCACCGCACTTGTCAAAGGTAAAAGCTTTGCAGAATGGCGTTCTGACAACGAACAGTAGTCAATTGAATTGGC